TATAATTATAATTATACGTTTAGTCGAAGCGAATATTATATAAATTATTATAAAAAACTAAAAAACTATAAAATAGTTATAAATCTAATTTAATGTTGTTTTATTTCTTTACGGGTTGAATTTTTTTATAAATTACAATATGTTTTCAATCGATTCAAACAATATACGAAATAGAACAATCAACAGTGTTCTAGAATCTTTAGAATTTTATCGTTTTAACCCTGAAATCACCTTTATGTTAGTAGGAGATTATTATCCATTTATGGTAAAGGACCATGTATTAAATATTTTAACCGATCCACTTGGAAATTATACATTAGTTGAACTGTGTATACAAAATGTTGGGGACCAAAAGTATTGTAGCAGTGCATGTTATCATCATGAAAGATCTAGTGGTAATACGTTTCGAACTTACAATCCTGTATACCAGTTTGTTCGATTTAAAGATATACAAGCGTTTAAAGATTATTGTTATTATACACGATGTATATTAAGTAGACGGTTCTTAACTAAAGGCGTTGATTTACAAAGTAATCCGTTCCCTACTAGTATTGACTCCGTACCTGTACCCGTAACATATTCAGAATTTTTTGTTTTAGATAGAATGAGAAATATATCTCATAAATAAAAAACTAACAATAAAACTAAGATGTTTGATAGATAATTTCTCATTTTATATTTATATACTATAAATGTATAACTATTAAAATTATTTTAAATGTATACACTGTAAAACATTAATTATATTGTTATTTAATATATATTTTAAAATGATGTTGAAAGATAAAAGTAAATATTAAAATCGTAACGATTATTTTCTTAATCAAAACCATGTTCATGTATCCCTATTATATGTAAAGGCTTTTAATGTTATTATATACAACTATCATTATAATTGGTTATTATTATTATTATTATAATTATTATCGCTTTATACATACAAGAAAATTGTTAATATAATTCTTATTAGATATTATATTTTAATTATTACAAATATGTTGTATAAATAACTAAGAATGTATTATATTTTGTAAAAAGAAAATGTATTGAGAACTATTAAAACTTATTATGTTTATGTAAACCATGAGATTATATTATAAACATTGAATTCTATGATGTAAAAGATGTAAATAATGTTGAACTTATAGATAATACAAGCATATAGTATTTTTTTTATTTTTTTTTTCAAACGTATATGCTTGTACATATCTATATATTCAATATTTTTTATTAATATTTTAACTGCGTTGTGAAAACTTGTCAAATAATATGAGTTAAATATAATATAATATAATATAAAGGAAAAATAATATTGTATCGCTTATAATTTTTATGACTCGACTTTTTTTATTTTATTCAATATATTGATCGATAGATAAATATTAATATTTACAGTTTCAAAATAAAATGGCTTCCCGTTCAGATGAAACTTACATTCAAAGAAAAATTGATGACAATTACGAACTATTAGAAATTACTTTGGATGAAGAAGAAGACGTAGAAGAAAAAAAACATAAAAATAAAATTAAAGCAATAAACAAAAAAATTAAAAAATTAAAAAATGAAAAAAAACAACTTAAATTAGAATTTGAACAATCGAAATATACATTTTATAAATGTAAATTATGTATAAGAAATTCTGTACATTTACTGCACAGAGAACTAGACTCTTTGAACATAGAATAATACTTTAATAAAACTATATTTTTTTTAATTTTTTAATTTTTTAATTTTTTTTTGTTTATTGCTTTAATTTTATTTTTATGTTTTTTTTTCTTGTAAAATTCTTGTTTTCTGTAAAACTATATTCGAAACTAATATGTAATAATATAATTAGTAATTATTATATCATTGACAATAAATATATATATATACGTATATTCAATGTTGTTTAATAAATAATCGTTTTAATTATTAGATTTATAAATTATACATTTCATACTAATGTATTTAGCTAAAATTATAGATAATGAATTTTTAGCATTCATATGATTATTGTTGTGAACAAATTTATTATTATGAAGGGCAGATTGTAGCATTAACGAAGATGATTGATGAAAATAAAATTAAAGAGAGATACGAATATAAAGATCTTAAAAAAAATTAGAAACCTCAAATTCACTATTTATTTAAGTAGAACAAATTCTAAACCAAATTTGTCTTATATAAAAGAGTTAAATGTTCACAAATTCTATGCATTTTTCTAGAATAAAAAAAAAATGGAGTCAACAGCAATGATATGGGAAGAAATTAACAAGATATTGTGTCAACTCAAAGCAAACAACCGTAGCATGGATGAAGACAAAGTCGCTTTCAGAAAAAAAATGAAAGATTTGAATTTTAGGATTAAGAATGCGACTTTGAAAACAACCAGACATAAATTAAAAGAAGAAAAACAGGAATTATTAAATGATTTTAAAAGTTTAATTTATTCAGCCTTTCTATGTGAAAGAAATATACAAAAAGGCTTGAGTATATTGTATGATAAATTAGATAGAATAGAATTAGAATATTATAGTCGTTGATACAATTATGTTTTCCGAAATAAAATCGATTAAATAAATAATTTATTATTTTATATTATAATTATATATCGAATGTTATTGAAATAAATTATAACCTATATCATTCCTGTGTATATAATATTCAATACTGTCTAAGTTTTATAATCGTTCGAATAAAAATAATTTAATACTGGATTGACTAAAATGTTTTTTTTCTTTGTAATAATTTAGAATTAATACTATTATTATATTTTGACAAAATATTCTAAATTGGTTACATCAAATTTTAAAAAAGAAGTTGATGTTATAATAAAATATCACAATATTATTATTATTGCTTATGCTTATGTTTTTATTTAATCTATTTTCAGTTTTACAATGAAAAGAAAAACGGTTACAAAACGTCAGCGGATGATGTCTTCTAATGAAGGTTTATTTGAAATTGAAAGATTTAAAAAATGTTCGAAGACATTTTTAATTAAGAATACTTTAGATTTTATAGACTACACACTTTTTTTTAACTATGTTAGAGATAAATTAATTTTAAAGTTAAAACAATCATGTTTACAATCATCTATAAAATTTAATTTACATGTGGATAGTGTATACGAACGAATAATTACTCAAGAAGTTCAGGACATAGCATTCATAACTTCTAATACACTTGCATGTAATTCATCCGATTTCAATAAATTATTAAATAGGATGTTCGATAAATTATTATCCGAGCAAGACCAGTTTTTAGCGAAAGGATCTGGGTGGTCTCTTAAGAGTATAGATGTATTGCAATTAAGAATTAATATAGTGAATCCCCTCAGGGGATGAACGTATATAGATTTACCTGAATATATGAAAGTTAAAAGGGCAATTATAAATGTGAAAAAATAACGATGGTAAATGTTTTAAATATTCAATACTATCTAAGTTTGATAATCGTTCGAATAAAACTTTTTTTAAATAAAAAATATTTTAAAATGTCAGAAAAAAAGTGGTTTAGATTTTAAATGTATTGATTTTCCAACACCACATCGGTTAGATGAAAAAATTTGAACGTGTAAACGATGTATCAATTAATCTTTATAGTTTAAATGATAAAGAACATATTTTTTCCTCTGTATATATGTGATACTGAAAGAAAAAAACAATTCGATCTATTTTTGTTTAATAATAACGAAACATCACATTACTGTTATATAAAAAAATTTTCAAGATTCGTTAGCACATGCTAATGCTAACCCATTTGAAAAAAGACAAAATTTGTAAAGAAATATATAATTAAAAATCACATGTAATTTAATAATTATATGGATATACTAAACGCTTTTATAAATCATAGAACTCTCAAGGATGAATAAACTCATAGAAAAATGAATTTTAACCAATCCAATAAACATGTTGTTCATTCGAAAACAATGAACAAACTTGTTCTAAGTGCAAACAATGATAAACTTCATATAATGGATGACACGATAAATACTTTAGCTTATAGTCACTATAAAATTAATGGTTCAGTATAAAAAGCAACAAAAAAAGTTAATTGAATAAAAAGTGAATTATATTATACAGTGTATTCAAAAATCAATCACTGATATTATTTCACTTTTATTTATTTTTGAAAAATATAAAAAAACAGTACTATATCATAAAGTTAAAAAATGAAAAAGAACATAGTCTCTTTGACTGATGTCTGATTATTATTATTAATATTTTAAGTTTTAAAATTTAAGAAACTTTAATTAAATATTATATTAATAACATATTTTATGACTGGTCAGCTAAACTATTCAAAATAATAATAATAATAAAAACGTATAAAGATTACATTTAGCTAAAAACAGAATAAATATTATACTAACGGGTGTATAAGAAGTTGACTATAGAGACCCCTTAATAAAAAAACTATTTATTAATACTATTTTATTACCACATACTATATTAAAGAAGAATATTATTAAATAAGAAACAAACTACATATTATATATATATATATATATATATATATATAATTGAAATAGAGTTGTTCGATATGATATTATAATAATTTATAACATAACTGTTTATATATTTTATGTTTTACAGTTGTATTACGGAAAGAATGAAGAAAATTATTTCAAACCGTTAACCATCAGAATCAATAGAATTAATTAAAATTGAAAGATTTAAAAAAAAAATGTTCTAAATAATGTTTGATTAAGAATATAGATTCCATACTATACAAGTTGATTATAAACTTTTTTATTAAATAATTGTTAAAGATAAAATAAATACTATACTAAAATTAAAGGATAAAAATATAGAAGTATTATTTGTTTTCATTGATTAATTTTTCCGCTATATGGTGCTTTTTATATCGATTGTGGATACATTAGGTTAACCAAACAGACTATTGAGGATTAGGAGATCATGTGAAATAATTAATTCGACTTAAAAAAAACTTAATTTTTTTATTTTATTTAAAAAAAAAAAATTAACAAAATATTATACATAAAAAAATCTTTATTTTAAAATATCTGATGATGTTATCCATGAATTTTGACTTGAATCAAAACCTAACCATTTAACAAGCATTTTATTCCCAACTTTTTTTACAATACGTTCAATGAGAAAGGTGTTTGGAAAATCAGTTAATTTAATTTCCTGTTCATAAAAACCACCTAAGATTATATTGTCTGATTCATCCTTTAGTTGATAAGTTACTGGATTTGTCTGTAAAACTTTTGAAACTGTAAATATTTCCGTTGTCCAATTTGGTGTATATCCTTTACTAAATATATGTTTATACTTAGATATTCTTACTTTGTCATTAACTTTAAATTTTGGATAATATAATGTATCATTTATTTGTGTATTAAATTTATTATTGTTTGTATCCATTCGAGCTTCATTCGGTGTACATTTGATTGTTCTATGTTTTGTATTATTATAATTTTGTGTAATTTTTGATAGTGTATTATACCAATTCCATGTACCAGTAGCAGTAAAATGTCTATATATATTATTTTTAAGACTTTGGATCACGCGTTCCGCGATTGCACATTTAATAACACTGTATGAACTGTAATGTTTAATTTTATATTTTTTCATTAAATCTTGAAATTGAGCATTGTAAAATTCTGTACCATTATCTGTCTGTAATAATTTCGGATGAGCTTTTTTCAATATATTAAACATACCTTTTGTGCATTCTTTCGATGTTTTATTTTTCAACGCCTCAAGCCAAACGTACTTACTATATGTATCTATAACAACTAAAATAAACTTGAAACCATAATTTTGTCTAGAATGAGATTGCATGTCCATTAAATCAGCTTGCCAGAGGTCATCAATAAACCGCGTTACTACACTACGTCTAGGAAATATTTTTCTCGCTGGTCGATGTAACTCATTAGCTATACTCTCTAAGGTAGTCATTATACTATAATATTTCTCTCACGTAGTTCTTCTAAAATAGATATTATTTCATTATTCACACCAGTATTACCAACACTTTGTGATGATGTCAAAAGATTTAATCTAGTTACTAGCTCATTCGGATCGTCATAATAAACTAATTGGGTTTGAGGTAAGACATCTTTATATAAACCAGAACCTTTCATAGTCTTTGGTGATGAAGTAAAATTAAACATCTTTTCAACTACGGGATTTGTAGACATGGAACTGTTTGCTTCTGGATTAAAATCAAATGGTTCAAATTCTTGTGTTATTTTTCTGCGTTTAGCGCTTGAACTAGATAAATGATTGTTAAATGATTTTAAATTAATTCGAGGAGTTGTATTCTCGTTAATTTTACTTATTTCTTCGTTAAACTGTTTTTCCTCCATTTTCATTCGATCATACAGTGGTTTTACAACAGTCACCCATTTATGGTACCTCGAGGTTCTAGGTTTTCCATCTGCTTTTAAATGGACTCCACTAGTTTTCAAAATATTGTAATAAGATTCTATATCTGCAATAGTTGTATTTTTTGGTTCCTTCTCACATAATAAAGACCATAGTCCTGGTGTAAATTGGTAGTATTTATTAAGCAACAGTAATTTGCCGTGACTAAAAGTAACAGAATGTTTTCCTATTTTATATGAATCACTATCTTTATCATAATACATACCATAAGATTTATCATAACGTGTTGATTTAGGACGGTTATTTAAAAAATTTTCATATGATGAATTTAATTCATCATCATTATCTTCTTCACTAATGCACGGGGTTTCTGCTTTATTTTCTAGTTCAGTTGACCGTGTGTTACATATTACATTTTGTTTCACATGTGTACTCAATGGTTCAATTATCGGCTTAAATGCCTCACGGAAATAGTTTTCAGAATCTATAACACCACGTTTCATTTCCATTATTTTTCGTTGTATATTTTGTTTTGATGTTATTAAATTTTCCAACAAGACTTTTTCTTTGTTCATTGTAAATAATAAATGCAATATATCTGTATCGTATGACTACTGATTACACTATGCAGATAATAACTGTGTGGCGGTATATTTATATCAACACATAAAATTATTTTATTTTAATGAATGTATGAAAACCGCATCTATACCTTCCTTCATTCATTTCTCGAGTTTTATCGATAACCATAAACCCATAATAGCTATGATTCCAGCATAAATGAGAAATTTTCCGAAATTCTGAGAAATCCATATCTGCAGACGAATGATCGTTGAATATATGTCGTAAATTTGTATCATCTTGTTTCAGTATTATTAAAAAGTTTGCGTTATCTCTTACAAGCTGTTTTGATATTTTAGAATATGTCTGTGCTAAATAAAATACGGAGCTGGCACCTGAATGCCTACCAATGCTAAAGTATTCTCTGATTACAGATTGTGGGCCGCACATCACATCATCAAAAATTATAATAGAATTTTTCTTCGTTAAGTTTGGTTTTATAACCTTATCAGCGCTTGTAAATATGAAAAAATTAGCACCTTTTATATCATCTATTATTTTTTTCAATAAAACATATTTTTCCTGATTAGAGGTTTTCGAGTATAAATAAATATTTTCAAATCTTAACCCGTTTGCATGTGTGATCAGATTATACATTATATTTGTTTTTCCTGACCCACTGGGACCAACTAGTATAGCACGTATAGTATCGGGTAATAACGAACCATGTCGTGAAGGTTTTTTTACTACCTGAACATCTACATTTGTAACATCCAATTTATCTTTCTGTTCTATCAAATCCATATTATTTTCTTATAAATACTCTAGAATTTTCCAATTTATAGTCAGTTATAGATGGCGGGTTCAACTCGTAAGTACAATTCAAACAAGACTGGTAAAGGATTTGTAAACTCCCTTATAAATAGTCTCCCGTTCGAAGCCCATGTTTCAGGATATCAGTATTGTGGTCCTGGTACGAAATTAAAAAAGAGACTAGATCGTGGTGATAAAGGAATAAACCCATTGGATGCTGCTTGTCGTGATCACGATATTGTGTATGCAACGAGTAAGAATTTAGACGATAGACATAAAGCTGATAAAGTGTTAGAAAATCGTGCTTGGGAAAGATTTAAAGCAAAAGATACACCTAGAAAAGAGAAATTAGTTGCGTACGCAGTAACAAACGCAATGAAAGCTAAAAGAAAAATAGGTATGGGTTGTAAACGGAAAAGTGCTATAAAAACAAATGGTATACTAGCAGCGAAGAAAAAAAGAATCTTAAAGAAAAAGAATGGTGGTAAAAGACTGATTTTAGCACCGAGACAGTCAGGAGGTGTAATTCCCTTAATACCTATATTTGCGGGATTGTCAGCACTTGGTAGTTTGATGTCTGGAGGTGCTAGTGTGTATAATGCGGTTCAAAATTCAAAAAGAAAAAAAGGTAGCGGTTTGAAATCAAACAAGAATAGGTTAAGAAAAAAAAACTGATGATCACGCTACCTGACAGACCGCTTTCGTCTCAAGATATTATAAAATATACTGGAAAGTTGAAAATCAATCATTTCCGTGGAGTCTTTTCACGTGATAACTTACCTAAAAAACCGCACGCTATTGAATGTGGTATATTAAACTTGGATATATCTTCAGGCGATGGAAGCCATTGGGTAGCGTTTTATAAAAATAAGGACAAAGTTGTATATTTTGATAGCTTTGGCGATTTACCTCCACCAATTGAATTACAACATTATTTCAGACAGTTCAAAATAGTATATAACTATTCCAACTATCAAGACTTCAATACATTTAACTGTGGTCATTTATGTCTTGAATTTTTACAATGCATGAATCTATTACATTAAGTTTGACTGGAAATTCAACTGTATTATCTGTAAATTATTTTCCACCTATAAACCTTTACGATGACTCAGAAATAGCTTTGTTGTGTTTACAGTCATTTAATTCATTCCCAAATATTAATGAAAATAATAATAAATTTTCTATACAAGTAGTTGATAATGAAAACAATAATAATCCTATGATATGTTTTATTACATTGGAAGAGGGTTGTTATGAAATTGAAGATATTAAGGATCGAGTTAAGAAGCAAATAGTTGCCTATAATAGTAAAAACTTAACCAATTTAACATTCGACATTACGGTTGATCCTGATGATTTCAGATCGTATATAAAATGTAATGGAATACTACACTTTGAATATCCATTTAGTATAGCACCTGTATTCGGTTTTGAAAAACGAGTATATAATCCATACAACATTCTTCGATCGGAAAAAGCTGTAAATTTAAACACAATTAATTCTATAAAAGTAATGTGTAATATAGCTCAAGGATCATTCAGCAACCATCTTCAGAGTCATTCGATTTATGAGTTTTTCCCGAGTGGAAAGACAGGGTCGAAAGTAATTCAGGCACCGCCAAATTTAATATATTACAAATTGAATAAAACAAATATTGATTCGATAACCGTTCAGTTAGTTGATCAAGATCATAATCCGATTGATAATTTTGGTGAGGCATTGACAATCGTGTTACATATTAAACGTTACGGGTCTTGAGATGGGGTTGAAATTCAATATAAACCCGCTACTTCGGATCAGCACAACTAGTCATAAGACTAAAGTGTTACCAGCAACATCAAATAAGATAAAAAAATTAACGGAAAAAAATAAAAAAATTTTACAAGCTCTGGGTTATCAATTAAAGCAGAATGCCTGAGAGTGATATTTTAGATATAACTTCACAGTACGAAACGGATTCTAAAATTACGAAAATTGAATATCATTCATACACACCGTATACTACATCATTTAATAATAATGGTGAAATACGTATATCAATCCAGCAAACGGATGTCTACCCATATCTACACGAAAGCTTTATTTTTTTGGAAGGAACAATTACTGATGCTACCAAAGTGAAACTATCTAATAACGGTTACTCTTACCTCTTCGAACAAATACGATTGGAAATCAATGGGATAGAAGTAGATAGCACACGTGTTCTTGGAATCACCAGCTCGTTGAAAGGTTACTTATCCGGTACGCCAGATAACTACAATTGTTATGAAAATGCTGGCTGGAATTTTAAAAACGCAACGCAATCGGAAAATGAAAAAGGTGAATTTAGTGCTTGCATACCATTGAAATATTGGTTAGGATTGTTTGAAGACTATAAAAGAATATTAGTGAATTCTAGATTGGAATTAATATTAACCCGAAATCATAGTGATTTAAATGCTTTACAAGTTAAAAGTGGTGCAACTGCTACTGAAGGTAAAATCACCTTAAATAAAATAGTCTGGAAGGTCCCACATATAACGGTCGACGATGAAGAAAGGTTGAAATTATTGAAACTTATAGAAAAAGAAAAAAGTCTATTTATCCCTTTTAGATCTTTTGAAACTTTTGAATATCCTGAACTCGGAACCACTAAAAAAGTTGTATGGAATTTGAAAACTGCTTCAAAATTAGAAAAACCGCGATTTATCATAATTGGATTACAAAAAGGACGCAAAAATTTGCTAACAAAAGATTGTAGTATATTTGATCATTGTAATTTAACAAACGTTAAAGTATTTCTGAACTCTATAGCTTATCCATACGATAATTTGAATTTAGATTTTACTAAAAATAACTTCACCTTATTATATAATATGTATACATCGTTTCAAGAATCGTACTATGAAAAAAGTATTCGCAACCCGATATTGAGTCCTTCTACTTTTCTGACAAACGCTCCAATTATAGTTATCGATACTTCGAAACAAAACGATTCAGCCACAGCCTCAGCAGTGGATGTTCAATTGGAAATTGAAGCTTCAGAATCGTTCACAGGTGTGACTGCTTACTGTTTCTTAATTCATGATCGTATTGTAGAATATGTACCTTTTACTAGAGAAGTAAGAAAACTTGTGTAAATATTATTAAGAATTTATTTGTAACAATAAAAAAAACTATGATTTAATAATTTGTGTTTTTCTTGAAATAATTATTTTAGTTTTAAAAATTGGTAAATGTTAAATATTTTTTTGCGTGAGACGAAATTTGGTAGTCAATCAGTATGAAATTGTGTTACACGGTAAATCTGAGTGCTCCAAGGGGACATTCCCCCCTTGAACTTTTTTTTTTCCCTGGAAAAGCTGGCTGTGAACATACAAATATATACTACTCGAGAGGCGAATTTTTGCTTCTTCAAAAACACCCATGACGCTATATTCCCCTCCACAAAAACGTACGCGCAATTCAAGCCAGTAGGTACAACCAAGAATATACGTATAGAATCTAGTTCTCATCAAAGCTTCGGTCATGCTGAACATTTTATACATTACATATTTGCACCCCATAGCAACGTATGCATGTGAAACATGGAGATGAAGAAAAACTCGAGTTTTGAGAGGAAAATATATGGGCCAATATTTAAGTTGGATTCAGGGATATTCGAAAGCAGACATTTATTTCTCTTTCGGTTTAACGTATCAACAAAATATAACAGAGTGATATTTTAGGTTTGGTGATTCATCCTGTTAAATTACAGTGAAACTTCACTCTGATGCGAGACCTCGACATATAATAATATAATTTAATGTTATTAATATGATATAAAAAGACGTTTTCAAATAATACACAATAAATAAAATTATAGCCAATAGGCAAAAACAATATAATAATATTTTATAACAATCTATTTGAGCCGCTAAGAATTATAAAATATGGCCAAATAGTTGATAATAACTAGCTATTTGAGCTGTAATATAATAATAAATATATAAAATAATACTCACAATTTGACGGAGAGGTGCTGGCCAGCTTCTACCTAACCTTTTATAATAGCAATATAGTAAAATAAATAACACACACAATATAACTATAAATTATAAAGAAACGATAAATGGTGATTCGCACCTGTGCATTAACTATAACATAGATTGGTGATTCGCATCCTTTACCAATAACAAAAATATGGCGCTTCGAGCACGACAATAACAGCACCGTTCAATAATTATTATATGTAAGACGATTTGCGCCTTACACAAGAATACTACAAAATTGGCGATTCGCGCCTGAACTTAATAAACAATATAGTATAAAACCGGCGACTGGTACACTCGATAATAATATTGCGTCTTGATGACAGCGGTGAGCGCACTGACTGGTTTGCGGCGGCAGTGTCTTATAATAATAAACACGCTTATAGCGCGGCGGTGGCGATATATTACATAATATTATATAATAATTCACAGCTGATACGGACAATTAAAACAGAAATAAAAACAATAATATAAATATATAGGAACAAACAGGTAACAGGTATGTGATTGCATGTGTGTGTGTGTGTGAGTCGGTAGCGGCCTTAACATTTCGATAATAATGTTGTTGCATTTCGGGCGGCAACATTTCTCCCCCCGTTGAAAAATTATTTATTTTCAACTTCTTTCCGATGATACTTCGGTAGGCAGCGCGCATAGCTTGACTACAGGACGCTTTATATCCGAACCGGATCCAACCCGCAATGTGACGACTCTCACAACGCCATCCTTCCCAGGGTGCGTTTTCATCACTCTTCTCATTCTGCTGGTGGCGTGCATTCGTCCTTTATGATGACTATATCGTCGATGCTTAGTGGAGGCTTGTTACTTGTCCACTTGCACGTACTTGGAGTTGTGGCAAGTATTCCTTATGCCATCTCGTCCAGAACCCTTGCATTAATGCTTGAACATACTTCTATCGACGTAGATGTTCTATTCGCTCGTCTGCTAAGCTGGGCTCAGGCGCTAATAATAAAGATCCAAAAATTAAGAAATGAGCTGGAGTAAGGGTATTAGGCTCTGAAGGGTCGCTTCCAAGGGGTGTCATTGGCCTCGAATTAACAGAAGCTTCAATTTGGCAAAGCAGCGTATTTAGCTCCTCCAAAGTAAGCCTGCCATCTTTTAGCACTCGTGTTAAGTGATGCTCAGTCGATTTCAACTCACTCTCCCACAAGCCGCCAAAGTAGGGCACTGAGGGAGGGTTGAATCTCCACTTTATCCCTTCACTAGCCATGCTTGACTCGCAGCTGGTTAGATATGATACCAACTCTTTCTGCACTTCTACAAAGTTAGTACCGTTGTCACTATGGATGGTTGAGCACTTTCCTCTTCGTGACATGAAACGTCTTAATGATGCCAAAAATGCTCCACTCGTTAACCCGATGACCGGTTCTAGGTGAATGGCCCTTGTGGAGAGACATATGAAGACTGCAATCCATGCCTTTTTCCTGTTTGTCTCCGTATTCCACTTCTTATCATTAAAGGCCCGGCAAATTCTACACCGCTGACAGCAAATGGTCTAGTAGGGATTAAGCGTTGTTTTGGTAACGGAGCCATTAGAGGAGATACAAATCTTGGTCTTGCTCGAACGCAGGTCACACAGCGTTTCGTGACAGAACGAGCCATGCTTCTACCTCTGATTTGCCAGTATCTTTGTCTAACCTCTGCTAGTAATGCTTGAGGCCCGCAGTGAAAAAGTGTCTGGTGAGTGTCTTCGAAAATTAGCCTGGTAATTTTGTGGGTTGCAGGTAACACAATAGGATGCTTTTGATTTTCTGCAATTTGGGCGTTGGCCAGCCGTCCTCCAACTAGTATTAAGTTTTCACTTTGGAGCATCGGATGTAGTCCCTTTAATTTACTACGCCCTGATACTTCCTTGTTTTTGCTCAGCGAGATATATTCTTCATTGAATTCTTGTAACTGTGCTTGCCTTATTAAACTAGTTTCGGCTTTATTTAAATACGATACACTTAAATACCGTGCTGTAGTACCAATCTGCCTTGGTCTTCGGAAATCTATAAACTTAAGAAACCAGGCAACATCTCTCACTAGTCGACGCCAACTTGAGTAGTGTTCGATAATTCCGATTGACTGATCCATCGTGGTGAGTGTGAGCTTAACCACTCGTCTTTCTGGTAATGTTTCTTCGTCTGGTAGTGTGGTGAACGAATGCTCCCAACCATCATTGCTGTGGCTCAACCACTGTGGTCCATTCCACCATAACTCAGAGACTTTTAGCTCTTGTGCCAATACTCCTCTGTATAGTATGTCAGCTGGATTTTCTGCAGTCCCTACATGCCTCCATTGTTGTGCATTGGTCAGCTCAAGTATTTGATCTACGCGATTCGCGACGTAGGTTTTAAATCTAGTTGCTTCACTTTGGATCCAACCCAATGCCACCGTAGAATCTGTCCAGAGGTGGAAATCCTTGACATCCAATTCCCATGCTGCTGCTACTTTTTCTGCCAACAGTGCTAACACCAGAGCGCCTCCAAGTTCTAAACGCGGTATTGTAGCTCCCTTGACTGGTGCTACTCTTGATTTTGAACATAATAGCCATGAACACCACTGCCCATTCTTGTCTTTACTTCTCACATATATGCATGCATCATAAGCTTCTTCAGAAGCGTCACAAAACCTATGCACCTCAATATGATCGCTCATGACTGGCTTGCACTTCCTAGGAATCGTTAACGCTCCGAGTTCCTCGAACTGATTGTAGAATCGGAGCCACTTCTCCCTTATTTCGTCTGGAATTGGATGGTCCCAATCTATCTTTATTTGCCACAGTTGTTGCAGGAATATTTTACCTTTAGTGAGTGAAGGTGTCAAAAAAACCAGAGGATCCAAAATCCTGTTAAGGTCAGATAGCAATATTCTTTTTGTACATCTTGGACTGTTAGCTGGCATTATAGCTTGATATCCAAGCACATCCTGCGTTGGCTTCCAACATAAACCAAAAGATTTAACTATCTCATCTGCTTCTATTTTGATTATGAATAATGTCTCATTTTCGGCTGCTTCTATGCTTTTGAGTATCTCGGCTGAATTAAGCACCATTTTCTGAGCGGTAGTTTGGCTGACTCTAAAAACATGCTGATTTGCGACTGTAACATCTTGCATTCATCTATAGTCTCAGCTCCAGTCATAAGGTCGTCCATATAGAAATCCCTACGAATTGCCTTCACTGCCTTAGGAAATCTTAGCTTTTCTGCTTCAGCCAGCGATGCGACACACTGAGTCGCCATAAAGGATGCTGAAGTAGTACCATAAGTGACTGTTGCTAGTCTATAGATGCGAAGTACCTCGCTTGGTCTCTCCCGCCATACTATACGCTGCAAGTCTTGATCTTCCTTGGATACTCCCACTTGCCGAAACATCTTCTCTACATCAGCAGTTATAACATACTGATGCGTTCGAAATCGTATCAATATGCTGAATAGTTCTTCTTGTACTGTGGGCCCACGCATAAGGACATTATTAATTGAGACTCCAGTTGAACTTTTGGCCGACCCATCAAAAACGACTCGTAACTTCGTTGTTAAACTTGACAATTTTACAACTGGGTTTTGAGGTAAATAAAAAAGGTTTTTGGTTACTGGTTCACTGTTGTTTACCTCTTGCATATGACCTGAGTTTTCATACTCCTTCATAAAGCTGACATATGCTTCTCTCAACGATTAATCCTGTTGTAGTCTACGTTCCACGCTTAAAAATCTTGATGTTGCCATCCTCAGAGAATCTCCTAAATTCGTAACTTCAGCTTTTAATTGTAACCGTAGCACGAATCTACCATCTTGGTCGTGTTTTGCAGTTTCTTGAAAGTGTCTTGCTGCTTCCCTTTCTTCCAGACTCCTCTTATTCGTATTAGACAAATCATTGGAATTAACGTTTTTGCTGTTTTCTATGGTTATCATTCCATCTTCTAGTGACTGGCCGACAGATTTAACGTTTAACAGGCATATTGCTCCAACCTCTCCGGTAATGACCCAACCAAATTTGGTATCTTGCAAACACAGCGAGCCTGTGCCCAAACGAATATGCCTAGTTTCCAGTATGTTGAAAAAGACGCCACCGCCTATCAGCATGTCTATCGGTCCTGATGAATGAAACAATGGATCAGCCAGCTGTGGATTTAATTCCTCCCTCTGTGCAATATTCAATCTCGGAAATGTAACACAGTGATCCCATTGAGTCATGAGGTATAAATATTGGAAATTATTTGTTACCTATTTATTTGTTTTAATTTGATTTCATAACATTTTCAAATGCATTATAGAAAAATCACCTAGTTACGTACCTACATATTTACTACAAATTATAAGGTTTATAAAAAAAAATATTACCCAAATAATAGATTTCCAGAAATATTATTTTTTATACATTGATGTATTATTATTTTATTATTTTATATTCTTTGGTAACTTAAAAGAAGCCGCAAAGAAAGTAGAAACTATAGCATAAGTCATAATTTAAGAATAGATAATATTATATGGGTACGTAATATCTCGTATGTCCGTATGGTTACAAGACAAATGTAGGGGAGACCAGAGCAAAACGCATAGGTTAACTTTATGTGTCAAAAAGTGGTGTCCAAACTATTATTTTAATAACTATTTATTAATATAATCATAAACTGACTTCTCAAATCCATTATTTATTCCTTCAAAAAAATTAATTATATCACTCAATTAATGTTAAAATGAAACATTTTTAAAAGTGGAATTTTATTCACTTTGCTAGGGCATAGTGAAAACATATGGTGGGCAAAGTGGTAAACTATGAGATAAATAAATAATTTACGTTAATCCATTTAATAATTGTATAATATGAATACTATACAGTCGAATCCACTTAATTGGGACACATCGGGTGGTGACCTATTTGTACCCATTATCCCGACTGTCCCGATTAACCGAAGAATTGTACATGCAGTTCATTCGGGACTGTCATTAATGTTCCCTTTAAGCGGATTCTACTGTATTTCACATCAAGTGTACACCAAAGCGTTCGTTTTGAAATAGAGTAAACGTACACGATGTTTGTTTTAAAAAAGTGTTACATCAATGTACACTTTTTTCATACCGATCCAAGAGCAGGTGTAGGAGATCATTATCATTTCTTATCAGCCTATAGTTGATTCAGTAATAAATTCAGCTGATTAATGTACACCCATCACGGACTAAGATATGCCTTAAGGTGACACATATTATATTTATGAATGATAAATGTCATATTAGTGACTCAATCTTCTTAACACATATTACTTTAAATTAAATAGTAGAAAATATAATGAACATAAAAGAAAATAACTCTTTTTTTTGATGGCAAATAGAATACATGCAAAACTATATCTATACCTTTAAATATTTTTTTATAATAAGGCATCTGGAATATTTCCTACAAAATTTTAAAAAACCCCTTATCATTCCTTCATATAAATCAGGGGCTTCTGAAAATATAACTGATTATGGACCTACCTCTCTCAGTCTCTCACTCTGTCTATTTCAAAAATGTCTTAAAAATAGATTAGTACAAATTTTAAATTATCATAATTTTTTTTTCTAATAGTCAGTGTGGGTTCAGGAAAGGTATATCTAATTAATGGTGATCTACTGCAGACTTCATTCAAGTCTGGATAAAAGAAATAAGGTAATAGGCATGTTCCTTGATTTGAAAAGATCATTTGATTCGTCGGTCAACTGTAATATTTTTTATAAAGAAATTAAAGTATTGTGGTATCCGTACAATTGTTCTATCACTATTCTCATCTGTCAAATAAACACTAAGCACAGGTAGTTAGAATTAATGAGTACTTTAGTTATTCAATTTCTGTTAACTGTGGTGTTCCTCAAGGTACCGACTTAGGACCTATACTATTCCTTATATACATTAATGGACTTATTAATTTGAAAATTAATTGTAAAGTAATTTGTTTTGCCTATGATACATTAGTATTACTTTGAACTTGATAATATTGACAATCTATATAGCTTAGCTAATAAATGTATCAACAACATTAAAGCCTGGTTAGATAAAAATGTGTTCACAAATAATTTACAATCCAAGCGAAGACAATCTAACCAAGGTTACCAAACAATTTTAACAAATTTTCATTTATTTATTTTTGTTTTTCTTGATTACTTTAAAAAGTACAGAGAATTTTGAATTTTAACATCCTAAAAGTACTAACTAGATCCAATTTGCTTCTGAAAACCTCCATCGAAGTTTATGACCAGAGAATTTTTTCTACGAGATGTGCATATATATATATTTAAAATATATTCTGGTTGCTCAACCAATAAGCACCCCTTGAATATAATATGTCCTATTAATGCCACTTGGTAGCGAAAAAAAATATTATGTTATATGTATCATTTGGTGCTGTCATTTCCATCAATAAACTATAATCAAATTTAGCCATTGTATAACTTGTAAATACAGATTGTAAATATACTAAATTTTGTTCAATAAAAAAAAGGCATATGTATACTTGTATAATATATACTATTTATATTACTTTATATTATGACTTTATATATTTACCTTTTATTTAATGTCTTAATATAAATTATTATTTATTTTAAACCAGTAATTATAATTTATAATGGTGCGATATGGCATGCATTTACAAGTAGGTACCTATGTATGTATATAGTTTGCATTGTGTATCTTAATACATCTATGTGTATTAGATAAATAATTATAACATTTAAAATCATTTAATTTAAAACTAACAATTTTTACCTACCTACTACATACCCATCAAAAAAAAAAATTAATAAAAAAGGTGCTCTGCTGTACAGTAGATTACAAGTGGGTCACTGTATAATGGATGGTATTAAATTTTAATTCAATGATATAATATCATTGTATAAGAAAAACGATTCTGAACGGAGACAGTATGTCAGTCTAGGTATAAGACATATTATATACTAATCTATCGTATTAAAAAAAAAAGTACCTATAATAAATTCCAAATTAATCATATCACAATATCCATTAGGTACTTATAACGCGTTATACATCAACAAAAACCGGGATACTATCATACATAATATATAATAGTACACTTTAGAAGTTTCACGTACCCACGAATGATATTATAGGTACAATCACAACAAAATAACTAAAATAGTTATTCTAGGTTTTTTATTATGTAATTTCGTCGAAATTTGAACTTAAAATGACTTTAAAAAAAAACTGTGTTATGTATTTTTTAGATTTTTTAGTAACAGAATTAACTATTTACTTGGAATCTTGTTTTAAATTTTCAATCCTTCGATATAAAAGTTAAACATTTTATACATTTTTAACTACGAAATAATTATTAAAATTTAAATTTGATACATTTTGTCAAAATTCAATCTTTAAATACTTATAAAAAAAATTATGCCTATGTATTTTTAATATTTTTCAACTGATATTGTAACAATATATCAGGAGCCTTGTATTAAATTTTTACATTATTTGGCCCAACAGATAAAATATATTGATATTTATAGAAAAAAAAACTAATAAAAAATTTAAAATTATAAATGTCCGTAAACAGCTCAAAAAGAGTCAACATATTTTCAAAATTGTATGGTGTATAGGATATGCTAATATAAACATTAAATGAAATTTTCATGTATCTACAGTTATTCGTTTTTGAATTTCAACAAAATAAGGAAATCACTACATGAGAAATCTGTGAGTATTCAATGTTGTAAAAATTTGAATTTCAAACGCTCATAAAAATTTAATTTGCATTTCTTATAGACATTTTTTTTTTTTGATAAAGGTAGATAATCTTATAAGAAATCTTGTATTATATTTTCAAATCTTAGATTTAAAAATAAAAATTTTTACGAATTCTTAACTCAAAATAATTTGCTAATTTTCGTGATTTTTCATATTTTGTCAATTTTTGAACTTTAAATGCTTATAAAAACTGTGACCAAGGATTTTTAATATTTTTCATCTGCCTTTGAAACAATATACTAGGAGCCTTGTATTAAATTATCAAGCTTTTTTAACCAACAAATAACATTTTATTGATATTTTTAGAAAAAAAACTAAAAATAAATGGAAAATGTAACTAAACAGTTCAAAATAAATCAAAATATTTTGAAAATGTTATCGTGTATAGAAAATGGAAATATAAGCAACCAGTGAAAATTTCATGTATATACGTTCATTTATTTTAGAGTTACACCAAAAACCTAAATCTATTTTTTGGAAAACCGATTTTGGGTAAAAATTCCCGTTTTTCCTTAATTTTTATGTAGTTTTTCCCATCGCTTGTGAAAACTATTGGGAATTTTAAATTTTGACCTTCTCAATGCATCAACGATATTCACTTTCCTATCAGAAAAGATACTGTTGAAGAAAATCGAAGCATTATTTCGACTACTTATCGTGTACACAGACACAAAAATAAATAATAAATAAATAAAAGAAAAAAAAATGTTCAATTTTGCATAGTTATAACTTATAAGGATTGAAAATTTAAAACAAGGGGTTTCTTAGTATTTTGTACTGTAACCAAAAAATCTAAAACTTATATAAACACAGGTATATTTTATGTTCTAATTTTAGATATTTAATCGAAGAATAATTTTTTTTTTTCGTATTAATTTAAAAATATTATTCGTGGGTACTGGGTACCTATTTATAACATATAAAGTACCTATATTAAATTTAATGTATTCACCAAAAATGAATTCAACCTATAGAATATTGTTTGGGTTATAGCACTACCTATCAGCGGTTTAATATGCGAATATGTGAATAAAATATGGCATAAAAACATTGTTTCATAATTTATTCAAGTAATACGGCTTATTGAAGCGGTTTACAGTAAAAATACCTATTAAGTATACAATTTGTAGAGGAGAATTTTTTTAGTAACCGTATTTTTGCACTGGGGCGAAAAATGTCTAAACGTGGCGCACTGCCTATTTGTGTCCACAAGTCCTTACAATGTTTATAAGTAAACATGCAATTTAGTAGCTCTTGTATAAATAATACTAAGGCTTGTTTTGCTCAATAATGTAACTGATTTCCCCTTAAACTTTTTTTGAGGATTCTTAATTACTAATTATTAATGTACTCGATGTTGAATGTAGTAGGTCACTATTAATACTATTAAAAATGTAAAACTAGCTACTGGCAATAAACTAATAAGTGAAAACTTGTAATATCAAAATAAAGCCGA